GTAGGGGTGGCTTAATTTGGAAAATTGTCAGACTAGTATAGTATTGATAAAGGGGCAATAGCCTCTGACGCAGTCATTCTTAGGGCCAATTAACATGGTAAGATTATTCCCTCACAACTGTCATGTGCAACATGCCATAAGTTATAGCTGCCATAAGTTGTATTCTGTTATACAGTTGATTTACATGAATCTTATATGAAGCATGTTGTCATTTATGTTAGTCAGCATGTTGTACATGACAGGTGCGTCGAAAAATGGTACGGTCTAAATCTAGATTTTGTTTGGTCATGTTGTCATGGAGCATTTCTCGAAGTTTTGTTGAGTGAGGTGGGCAGAGAGTGTGAATGTTATTATATATTCTAATACATTGAGAATTAATCATTGTCTATTTTGCAATGAAGGCAGATCTTGGTCGTGAAATCCATGGATTATCATGCTCATGTAAACCCTTGGCAGGATGGGTTGCAAGGGATGCTATTCAAGAGTGTCGGGAAGCCTGTGGAGGCCATGGTTACCTAGCAGGTATGCACTATTTATTAATGGCATTATAACTGGGAATCAATCCTAATTTTTTTTTAAAAGTTCAAGTATCTTTTGACCAATAATACCATCCCAAAACATTAAAAAATCTTGATTTTTACTTACTAAGGCACTTTATAATCCAAGGGTTTTACATTTCACTTTGAACACAGCATACAGCACTGTAAATACTAAGTCTCATAACTTTTTTGACAGTGCGACATGTTCCACTGTGTCCATTCAGACTGACCTTTTTTACATGTTAACCAGTAAGAGATTCTTTCATTTGAATAACATTGTGTTAAAGTTCGTTTCTGCAGCATGTGGGTTTGACCTTTCAAACATCATTCTCAACTTTCTGGGGGGAGGGGGGGTGGTATCACTCAAGTGTTAGTCTCTTTCACAGTTGTCATTCCCTCTGAGGAGGGCTTGGGAGGACTGGGAGCAGCACTAATTATAACCATAGGGGTCTCACTGTTGTAGCATGCAACATACTGTAACTGGTTTGCAACCAATCTTGTTCTGATAGTAAACCAGCTTGGGAAGCTCCGTGATGATAATGATCCAAACTGTACATATGAAGGTGACAACAACATGCTCCTTGGCCAGACCAGTAACTATCTTCTCTCTCTGCTTGAGTTAAGACAGAAAGGTTAGTAGAAAAAAATAAATGGTACATCTCCAATTATCCAAAAAATTTTTGAAATTATCAAAAATATTTGAAGTGTCAGAAATTCTATGATGAGTATAGTGTACATGTATATATGTAATCTGCCTGTAATATATAACATCGCGATCCTTCTGCGAATGACCCAAATTAGACAAATGAATAAGTCTCATTTATTACAATTTACATACAAAATTCGATTTCCACGATGAATGATATTTTTCATTCCAAAATATAATCCGTCTGTTAACCAACAGACAGATTTGAGATGTAAATGTAAATGTGAATGTAAATCTTTATAATTGCTTGACACTTCATAATGAAAAAAGGATAGTTTGAAATAAAAAAATAAAAAATGAACTGCTGGACATTTAATATTATTATTTCCTTGGCTCCCTGCCAGCCCTTAGATTTTCTAGATCTACCCCAGTTATACCCATGACTTGAATTCTCATTCCTAAATCATCTGATTGAAATGCAAGAATCATTCTTGCTAGCTCATTTTCCCATTGCATTTCCCATTCTTTCGAGCTTCCATTTTATTAATGGTGGACGAATTCCTTCATCATTCGTATTGTTTTATTCAGGACAACCCATCTCGTCTCCTCTACACACGGTAGATTATCTAAGCGATGCCAATCAGATTCTACAACAGGTATTTAGTGCCAAAACAGAGGATGAATGCCGTAACTTAGATGGTAGGTTATGATATGACACCCAGGACCATCTTGATGCTTATGGTTTACGCGCTTTCCATTTACGCGCTTTCCATTCACATAATCTTGAGATCGTACAATTTTCCATTCCATAGGCATGTGCCCATGAAACGTTTGAGTTTTGCGACGATGTTACGGAAACACTTAGACTGACGTCCACCAAAAGCTACTTCGTCGCGACAGCTAATTGTACGATTCTGCGCGTGTGAATGGAGAGTGCTGTTCAGTAACTAATGTTGAAAAACAATGAATATAAGATTTATTTTTATAGTAACTACTGAACAACAATAAGATAATGGTTTATTTTCACAGTACTTTAAGTAAGACAGATTATAAGTACATTTTCACAGTAACTACAGAAAAATAAAAACAACAACAAAAAACAACAACAAAAATGAATTTTACACTCACTTTTCGTTGATCCACCAAAAATGCTTGAACGTAGCACCGTGAAGCACTGTCACGGTCACGGCACAGAATGTTTGTAGGTTATGAAGCTGTTTGTATTTTTCCTGATCTACTGTATATCTGCTCTTGTACTAGTGTTGCTCCAGGCATACCAGTGGTTGGTCTGTTACTTGTGGTTGGAGAGTGGATCAAAATATAACCAACAATTAGCCTTTGGAAAGGTATGCTAAAACTCTGCAACAGACGCAGTTGGAATAGCTGTTGTTGTTGTTGTTGTCAATGTCATTGCTGCTATATTTTCTTGTTATTGCTGGTGTTATTGCTGGTGCTGTTGTTGTTTGCTGTTGTTGTTGCTGAAGTGTATGTTGTTGTTGTTGCTATCGCTGCTGTTCACGTAGTTATTGCTGCTTTTATGTTGTCATGGCTGCTGCTATTGTCGTTATTAATTGCTGCCGTTGTTGTTGTAACTATTGCTACTGTTGTTGTTGTTTTTATTGTCACTGCTGCTGTTATTTGCTGCTCTACTGTTGCTGTTGTTACTAATATTCCTTCAATTCCTTGATCAGGAGCCATTTTCTGCTAAGAATGACAGTCAAGTTTATTTCTGCCGTTCCTTATCATTGGCTTACGTTCAGGTATGTACGATGTCCCGATTATCGCGCTCAATAAATGGCTGAATAAGCTTCCCTCTTCAGCTGTAAAGACGTTTATTATCACGCATCGGTTGCACAGGAAAAATTCTGCTTCTTTTAAATGAAAATAAATAAAAAATTCTTTTTTTTTTAGTGCGAGGTACTTCGACGCTTCAGGGATGCCTGTCAAAGTGAAGACACACCTGAAGGTCTTCGCCCTGTTCTTAAGAAGATGTGTTCCTTATATGGCTTGTGGTCCCTCGAGAAACACTTGGCTACACTCTATGAAGGTAAAAAAAATACTGTCGAAGTGATAATATTTTGTGTTAATTTTGTGTTGAGCCCACTATTCAAATGAATGATTTGAGCAATTCTAAACAAGAATGCCACGAAGAGCACTGTCTTCACGTAAGAAACTTGTCGAAATGGCTTTTTACACTGAAATGGCTTTTTACACTGAAATGGCTTTTAGGCCGAAATACTTTTGACACTGAAATGGCGTTGACACAAAAATTGCTTTGCACAAAAATGGCTTTCGACACTGAAATGTTCTAGAATGCTTTATCGCGCAGTTCAAATTGGCATTTATGAGTTTATAGCTTGCACTGAAATGGCTTTCCGTAAGAAGGTTTTGTCGTTAGAAACGGTATCACTGACATACATGCCTAAAAAGCGACACTGAAATGGCTTTCCCGCAAAAAGGCCTTTTCGCCACATCTGCGTACTTGCTCACAACACTGACTTTCCAGTTGCTTTCTATGACTTTCCTTGCATACTCGTTGTGTGCAGCCTTTAAATGGCTTTCCCTATTAATGAATTGAACAAAAATGTTTCTAATTGCAGGTGGATACTGCATGTCAACTAACGATGCACGACTCATTAAGAGTGCTATAATTACCTTGTGCTTTGAGGTATTTATTTCAGATTTTCTCTCTCTTTGTTCCTTGATCTAGATTCAATTTGCCGGAATTTTAAAATACTGCAATTCTTCTCTGGCAACATTTAAATATGCATAATTACAAACCGGTTGGGCTTCTGCTCGCTCTGAATATTTTGGTCATTTTATCCCTCTCTGACGTTCTTTCCGATGCCAATTACAATGAAAAGGTCTCAAGAGTTAATTTTCTCTATCCTGCAATCAAACTGGTTCACGATATCGAAGTAAATCCTGGACCTGGCCAGCGAACAAGA